CCCCAAAACTAAAAAAACTTCAGTGTTTCCAGTTCAATATTACAAATAACCATTTTATAACCAATGCCCCAACCCGCCCAACACATCGTCACCATCTTACATCTACCTCCACATCGTTATATTGTTGTTTTACAACCGGGATTAGCCATTCATAAACAAAACAGTTATTCAAAACTGTATCGCTAATAAATAATAGATTTATACATATAAAAACAGCCCCCTAATGGAGGTTTACTTTATACAGTAATCATCAGTTCTCCCTCACTCACACAGTCGCACACACGATCATTTTAATGTTTGTTCTCAGCAGTGTTTTGCCATAAAAAGGGCCTTCTCACACACACACACACACACACACACACACACACACACACACACACACACACACACACACACACACACACACATACACACACACACACACACACACACACACACACACACACACACACACACACACACACACACACACACACACACACACACACACACACACACACACACACACACACACACCGTAGACCTGCACAGCTGCAAAAAGAGGCAGCAGGAATATTACAAAATAAGGAGACAGTTGTATCTCCCTCTCTGGGCGGGTGAGGTCTCAGTACAGCCTCACCCGTATAAGCAGCATAGAGGGCAGAGCCACAAAATAAACACACGCATTAAAAAAACAAACCAAAAAAAGCACAAACTGGTGACCGATGGATCCTCTTTAAAACATCCAGCTTTTCTTAAAACTGACCCTCGTTAAAAACGTTCAGGATCGAGAGTCTGTCACGCTCCCTCCTCTGATAAAATGCAGCAGGACGCACAATCAGTCCGTTTGTTTTTCTACATCCGGGCTTGTGCTACAAGAAAATACAAATAAAAAGAGCCTTTTATGCAACTGTTCGACAAACCGTGGCTCCTTTGGGTCAGAAACAAGAAAAGAGCAAAAAAAAGTTTTGAGTTTTTGTTTGTTTTCTCCGTCCCTCGTCAGTCGAGCTTCTCCAGCACCGAGGGCACGTACACCAGGCTGAGCTCGCTGCCGAAGTCACAGATGATGGCGGCGTTGTCGAGCACCAGCAGCTGCCGGACGCCCTGCCCGTCGCTGCTCTGGCCCAAATACACCGTCTGCAGCAGGTCCCCGAAGTTCAGGTCCCAGAAGGAGACGCAGCCCTGCCCCCCCGTCACCAGCAGGGACTCAGAGATGACCCCCAGACTGGCCCCGCAGCCCGCCTCCTGGGGACCAGAGGAGAGAGGGAAAGGGGTCAATGTTGGGGTATTCTAGGACACATTTTGGATCATTGTTCCTATTCATTTCACAAGCAAAGAACCTTAAAGGTAAACTCTCAACACATTATAGGTCTCAGATATGTACAGAACATGTCTCTGAAGTGTTTGTTGGGGTATATCAGTAAGCCCCTCCTAGAGGCAGAACGACAGCGTTACCTGCTGTATGGAGTACAGTTTGATCCCGGTGCTTCGGTCCCAGATACAGATGAGGTCGTCCAGTCCTGAGCTGATGACGCAGGAGTTGGTGCAGACCAACGAGGTGACGTCGCCACGGTGACCGTAAACATGGCTGACACGACTCCCCGTCAGGACGTCCCAGAGGCAGATGGCTCCGTCCTGCCCGCCGCTCGCCAGGACCATCGTCTGAGGAGGAACAAACATGTGAGGTATATGACTTTCTACATGTGACGTACTTTTCTACTACTTTTTTTAAACATACTTTTTTATGACTTTTTATCAAAATACCGTAATGTGCATTTTTTTTGACACACTATACTATAACACTTGACATACACTGAACAGAAATATAAACGCAACACTTTTGTTTTTGCTGAACTCAAAGATCTAAAACATTTTCTTTACACACAAAATAACCATTTCTCTCAAATATTGTTCACAAATCTGAAAAAATCTGTGATAGTGAGCACTTCTCCTTTGCCGAGATAATCCATCCCACCTCAAAGGTGTGGCATATCAAGATGCTGATTAGACAGCATGATTATTGCACAGGTGTGCCTTAGGCTGGCCACAATAAAAGGCCTGAAACGGCAGCTTGCAC